CAAAAGGAAGCTCCCGCCTGAGAGGTCCAAAAAAAACACTCAAAACGAGGCTCCCGCCTGAGAGGCCCCCAAAAAACCCAAAGAAATCCAAGAGCCACCCCTCTCATCCCTGTAACTGTCACAAAAAAAAAATCAGAGGAGAACTCCACCGAGGGGGCGCAGGTAAGACGAGGAGGACGTGGGGGGGGAGGAGGTCTCCTCTGAAACTTTGGGTTTTTTTTATGTTTTTTGGGACAGTTACAGGGATGAGAGGGGTGACTCTTGGATTTCTTTAGGTTTTTTTGGGACCTCTCAGGCGGGAGCCTCGTTTTGAGTGTTTTTTGGGGACATCTCAGGCGGGAGCTTCCTTTTGGGTGTGTTTGTGGGGACCTCTCAGGCGGGAGCCTCGTTTTGAACGCCTGGCAAGGTTTTGCTTGAGTCTGTCCCGTAAGGGGATCCTGATTGGGAGGAGGAGGAGGAGGAGGAGGAGAAAGAGGAGGAGGAGGAGGTGTTCTGCTCCTCTGCTTCTGTGCTCTGGAGTTGGCCTCTCAGGCGGGAGCAACATAACACAACACAACAGCAAACCACAACACAACATCATACAAGAGAAGAGTACGCATACAATCACAACATAACATTATACAACTCGCACTTTCGGCATGCCCCCGTTAGGCCTGTATACCCATACATATATGTATATATATAGTCATCCATAAATATATATACACATATACATATATATATATATATATACATATGAGCGTGTGGGGGACAGGGCTGGTGACTCCCAGGGCGGCCCCTCAACGCGCCATGGGGGCCCTGGAGCCCCGGGAGCGCGCTGGGATCTCGCCGGGAGGCTAAAGACGTTTTCAGAAGGCGCCAAGAGAGTTCCAAGAGCGGTCCAAGAGGCTTCCAAGACAGCCCAAAGCGCTCCAAGACGCCCAAGATGGCCGAGGAAGGAATAGGGGAGGGGCAACGCTGTTCCCGAAGAGGCCCAAACTTGAACATCGCGCCACAAGGACAAGGAGTTCCCTGGGCAGCCCAAAGCTACCTGCCATGACGCTTCGTTGGGCAGCCCGAAGGTACCTGCAAGGACGCTCCCCTGAGGCGCCCGAAGGTGCCTGCCAGGTCGTTTCTCTGAGGTGCCCGAGGGTACTTGCCAGAACGCTTGGATGAGGCGACCAAAAGTACTTGCCAGGGCGCTTTCCTGAGGCACCCGAAAGAATCTGCCACGGCGCTTCCTTGTGCACCCCGAAGGTGCCTGCCAGACCGAATCCCTGAGCAGCTTGAAGATGCCTGCCAGGACGCCCCCCTGCGGCGCCCGAAGGTGCCTGCCAGGACACCATCCGTGAGGCGCCCAAGGTACTTGCCTGGAAGCTTCCCTGAGGCGCCCGAAGACGGCGTCGGCGACGACGAGGATTACGACGACGACGATCACGCCAGGGCAGGGGCGTGTGTGTGTGTGTGTGGGGGGGGGGGCAAAATTTGCCAGCGATGCCAAGCAAGCACACCGACCATACGCGCCAGACATAGAGTATCATATTAGGAACACCAAGCAGCTGAAATAGATTAGCCAACCAGGCTCACCACACAAACGGTACGTGGCACAGCAACCAGACGATCAGTTCCGTCCAGGCCAGCCAGATCAATCAGGCTGTGCAAACCAGCTAGACCAACCCTACCAGACTACGCAAGCAAGCCTTCCAGACAAACAGGCCAACCAAGCGCACCAGACCAAGCAGACTGGACAAACCATCCATTTCAGCATGCCAATCTCACCGAGCATGCCGACCATTAACATAATTTGTGTTCGTTGCTGGGGTGTTGGGCAGCATTCCCTTCCAGAGCCTTCCCAAGCCGGCCTCTCCCGACACGAAGCTCCTAAGCAACGCATCGCAAACACAAAATGCAGAGCAAAAGAGATCAACAATGTTTAAACAGAAAGCAAGTTCCTTAACAGTCATCATTGCCGCTTTTAAGCCTTGAAGGCAGCATCCTCCCAGAACCTCCCCAAACGAATCCCGCCCCACGCGCGGAATCCTCAGCTCTTTTTTTAGCAACCAGACGCAGCGAAAACATGCAGCAGGAAGCTGCAATTGAAATGGAGTGTAGCGATTAGTTACTTACACTGAATTACATGGTGAATTCCAGATTACAGATGCAATGCATACGCATTGCCAATAGTCTGCGGCAAACCATGCTCTTCGCATGGACGGGCCCCAAATGGACGACCGCAGATTTTGTAGCAAGCCGTACGCAATGCACGTGTGGGATTCTGTGACCGCGCCGAAGAGTCGGCGGCTTTTCGAACACAGCATTGTTCACGGTCTCTGTGGGACAGTGTGACCGCATCGAGATAGGTTGGTGCACCTCGCACGCCACGCATGAGCGGGGCATCACGGCCGTGCCGAAATAGCCCGCGGCATGTCGCACCTGACGCATGAGCGGAACTTTGCGGGCGCACCGAAGAATTTGTTGCACATCGCGCGCAACGCGTGGACGGAGTCCGCGGCCACGTGGAAGAGAATCCGCGGCACCCCGCGCGCAACGCATGGGCGGGCCCTTGTGGAGACACCAGGGAAGTCACCAGCCTCGTGCGCACCGCATGGACGGGACGGGACCACATGGCCGCCAGTTCGTGGAGTTCAGTGCCAAGTCCGTCACGGAAGAGGCAGGATTTGCCAGATGCAAGTTTCGTTCGCAATGTTGTGCAATGATACGCACATGCAATGCAGCGCCCATGTAATTACATCATGAATGGTGTGCAGTTGCCGCGCGTGCACGCATGGCGCAACCCGTGGGCGCAACGCGTGGCTCAACCCGCGGCCGCCAAGGGCCACGCGAAGCTTGCAAATCCTCTGGGCGCAGCCCATGGTCGCAACTTGTTGGGCAACTCCTGGGCGCAATGGATGGCCGCGCGAAGTCCCAGAACTTGTGGCGGGAGAGGGGCCATGACCGCAACGTGCGGTCAAGGGCCACGCCGCAAAATATATCGCATACTCACGCGCGCACCGCGGGCACCACCTGCGGGCACACCTTGCGAGTCTTGCGCAACGCGTGGCCAAGCAGAACCCCCGCTCCTTCAGGCGCAACTTGTGGCACAACCCGCGGGTTCAACGTCTGGCCACGCAAAATTCGAACATGGGAGGGCAACCCATGGACACGGCTTTGCAACACATTGGGGCAACCGACCGCCACGCAAAACACACAAGTTCTCAAGTGAAAGCCATGCGCGCACCTTGTGCTGTTTTCATAAGGCGCGACAGGTTGCCCCGAAGGATATTCAAATCATGTGAGCATCTCATGTCGCACCCGATGGGCGCAACATCTTGCCTCGAATAACGTTCGATTCGCCGCACCTCGTATCTAAGAGGCCAGGTAAAAAAGGCCCAAATGGCAGCCATTTGTTGCAGTACTTGGTTTCTTGCTATGCTTAGCAGGCTCATTGGCACCACAGCCTCCCTGACCCACCAAAACCATTCCCGTCTCAGATGCGGGTTACCAAGTTCGAAAACATGCCAAACTCAACGCGAACGGATTGCCATGCATCGTTGCGTTTGCAACGACACCGTTCTCGAAAACATGAATTAGACCACTTGGTGGTGATAAATATTACGACATGTTGAATGACCTGTCTGCTGTAGGACCGAACGTCGCCCAGCGGGACGAGTCGCGAGGGATCCCGTTTCAAGAGCGATGGGGATTGAGGTAAGAGCAGATTTTGAACCGGCGGCTCGTGCGGGGCTCCTTTTCGCACGAAGCTCGTTACGCTACCAGCGGCATGTCTGTTGGCGGCGGCACGGAGGAGACGACGGCGGCGGCGGCAAAATGGGGCACACTAGCCATCACGCCCATGTTTGTTAATGGTGGTTGGCGCGTTTGGCACCCGAATTCCCTTAAGCCCGCCAAATGCACCCCCGCCTCACGGAATCATGTAGAACAAACGGCGCAACCCAGCGCAGCGCAAACATGCAACGCGGCAACGTACAGTTCCGAATGTTGTAATGTTGAATAGTGCGTTGTGTTTGGTCATTGTGAGTGGTGCGTTGAACATCACACCCTTCCTTAGCATCCCCAAACCACTTCCGCCTCACGCGCGGAATCCCAATATCAAGTTGAAGCCATTGAAAGCACACACACAGACACGCCTACACGTACACACACAAACACACAAACAAACAAATAATCAACCAACCATAACACATGAAGCACTATGGTTTGGCGCATCCTCCCCATTATTGTTGGTTATCGTTGCTTATTATCGTTCCGCTCCCCCTTCTCCTCCTCGTCCTCCTCCTCACCTCCTCCTCCTCAGTTCAGTCATCCTCTCGCCCGCTCTTCATCCTCCTCCTCCTCCCCCTCCCCCTCCCCCATCCCCCTCCTCCTCTTCCTCTCCGTATCCCCCTCATCCTCTTCCTCCTCCCCATCTCCATCCTCCGCCTGCCCGCTCCTCCTCCTAGTCCTCCTCTCCTCCTCCCTTTCTCCCCTCACCACCCCATTCCCCCTCCACCTCATCCTTCCCCCTCTCCTCCCCCTCGCCCGAGCACCCATCATCATCGTCACCCACCCTCTTTTTGTGTCATCCTTCTCCTCGCGCCTCTTTCTTCTCCCTCATCCATCCTCCTCCCTCCGCCCTTGCAGTGTCCTCCGCCTCCTCCTGCCCTTCTCCTTTTTCATCCCCATCCCCCCTCTCGCCCACGCCTCCTTGCCCCCCGCCCTCTCAACCCCCCGACCTCGGCGAGCAGGGAGATTGTTTCGTTCCTCTGGCAACGGTCGTTGCCCAGGCCCCCCCCCCTGGGTAATGGTAATGATCGTACGCGGCGGGGAGGGGGGCTGGATCTCCCCCCCCCACATGTTTGTGTTCGCGCGCATTCAATGGCGATCGCAGCGCACCCGCCCAAGCTTTACTGTTACCCGGGGCCCCAGCACTCCCTTGGTAACGACCGCGACAGTAAATCATAACATCGTAGTTTCGGGGGTGGGGAGTTGGACCGATGGATGATGCATCGAGGGCCCTCCAGAGTGTGCGCGTTCCTCCAGACAGGCAAGTTTTAAGCTGGCTCGCAGCATCTGTGCGCGCGCCGGATGTGGCCGTATTTTCCCTCGGGAGCAGCTCGGGCGCGGAGGAGGCTTCTCTCTGGCGCGGGCAGCGCGAGGTCGCTGTGACCCCAGCGAAGGTAATACATCGGAGGAGGAGGAGGAGAGACGAAAAGGAAGAGGATGAGGACCAGCGTCAACCAAAGACCCATCAAGGATGTTGCACTAAACACTCCTTCCATGTTCCCTCTTCATAAGTCCCCGCAAGGACTTGTGTTCACTGAGGTAAGTGCCCCTGTGGTAAATCAACCGTTTGAAAATCATGAACCGCGCCAAAACATAATTTCTATAACTTCAACGCCGTCAATGGACATTATTGTTGCGCCCTGACGATCCAGAATCGTGCCAGAACACCGCTCCTGGTACTCCAGCAGCGCGAATCAACGTGACTCTTGCGCCCTGGCTGTCATACATCGTGCCACAACACTACTTGGGGGACGCCAGCCATGAGAGTATTTGAAACTGCTGCAAACTCTTAAGGCGAATGGGCGCGGCGCTGAGGCGAGAGCCGCCAACCATCCGTGAAACTGTTGCAAACTGTCAAGACGAATGTGCGCGGCGCTAAGGCGAGAGCCACATGCTGACAAGGAACCGCCCACCATCCGTGAAACTCTTGCAACATGTCAAGACGAAAACATGCGGCGTTGAAGCGAGAACTATATTTTGAAAACGGCACGCCCTCCACCCGTGCAGCCGCTGCAAACTTTAGCCTCGGGATCGTAAGTGGTGAGGCAGTCGCAGGTGAAAGGCCCGGCCCGCCCTACCGACACGGCTCGGGGTGCGATAGGGAGGTGTTATGTATAAGGAAATGGAATGGAGGAGGAGGAGGAGGAGGAGGAGGAGGAGGAGGAGGAGGAGGCGGGAGGAGGCGGGAGGAGAGAGGAGGAAGAGGAGGACGAGGACGAGGAGGATGAGGAGGAGGATTTATGGCGCTATAGCGTGAACGCGGCTCCCAGGTGCAAGCCTGGCCGCCTATCGCCACATCACCGCGGGAAAGTCATTCCCGTCTTTGGCGGGGACCCTCGTTCCAGGCGGGCTAACGCCTCCAAGCCCCTCTTGGTCTAGATTGACACTCACACCTAATTGACGCCTTCTTGTCCTTCCGTTTTCTCGCACTGGTGACACAACAAGTGCCACAGGTTGTACAAAACAGCGCGCCGTTGATTTCAGACAGGGAGTGGGCCCCGTGGCATTGGGCGGCCACCGGATGGGCCGTAGGTCCAGAAACAGCCCCAGAGTCCAGGGAACCTCGATCCTCCTCCTGTCTCGGACCAGAAGAACGAGAGAATCGCCTTGCATTGCAGGGTCCTGGCCAGAATGCCGACAACGGGCATGTCTTGCAAAACTCGGCCGGACAGATGGTATATTTAAACAGGGTCTTAAGTTCAACTACTGGGTGGCCCTGCTCCGACAAACGCTCACGACGAATTTGCGCACTACTCACACCAACGCACGCACGCACCTGCTCATGACCAACACGCCTGCGCACACCAACGCGCTCTCGAGGACATTGCACTACTACGTCACGCTGGATGGCTAGAAACAAGTGATGGCCTTCGAATGCTCGTGGACGGCTGCTCTACGAGCCGCTTTCCCAGCTCACGCATCGGCAGGTCCATTGAGGAGCCTCTTTTTCGACGTGAGGTGTAGGGCGCTGACGTGGGAGCCCGTGGGGTCAACCTCGCCACCCCTGCGGTCCTGGGTACCCCAAAGACGAACCCAAAGTTCCAGCATATCTGAATTTTCATGCGAGGCTCGAGGGCGCACAACCCCGAACAAGAGGATTGCATTCACTGAACACCAAGATCCTCCCAGTAGTACGCTCCAATACCATAATGAGGGCCAGGAGTTCAGCACCGGGGCTCGACTGGCCATGGACTCCAAGACAATCAGCAAGTCCCCATTCAAAACCATGGAGGTGGATACCTGGCCTAACACATTCCCAGCCACATCGCCTCAGTCTTGGGTCCTTAGCTTCTCCCCCCCGATCCGTCGATGCCCCAGACCCAGCCGTCGCGGACGGCAAGATCGTCGAACGACCCCCATCCGAATTTAGTCTCACAGGCTTCGGGAAGAGGCCCAATCGACAGATCCTTAAGCATGGGGCCTCGGCACCAGAGGGCAGGTAAACGAACGTCTCGAGCTGCACGCTCGGCGAGGTGAGCAGTATGCTCTACGCACAGGATCGGGGATGGAACCAGTAGCCGTGCAAGTCCAGAAACGATGGTAGGGAGACTCAGGAATTTCACCACACCGAGGACACAACCCCTAGGAAAGAGTAGCATACCGTTCATCATGCAAACGTTGATCTGTCCAGAACCCGCAGTCCATGAGTTCGGGGGAGGCTTGCCCATTAAAATCAATGCATTGCCCGAGCTTAGAAAGTTCGCCCCGAAAAACTGAAAGCGACCCCAGACTCGATTACATTCCCATGGTGGTGCTTGGCAACCTGGCGCCAAACCAGGTCATCACACGTCGCCTTCACACGGCCCCGACGGGTCAGCAAAAAAATAGGAGCGGTGGTACACACGCCCCATCCACGTTCATCCTGCCAGCGATTGGGGGTCCTGGGCTGCCAACCAAGATCAAGGATGACGGTCACAGCGGCCGCAACAGGGCCTCGAATTCGTGTCCAAACTTGACGCTCGGGGATGGAGGTGAACTGGTCAGATTTAGCATTGCACAGCTGGGAAACAGACATTGGGCTGTGTTTCGCACAACACACGCTATATTGAGCACTATACACATATTTGTCAGGATTGGCTTCCCAAGTATCAGCGATATCGTAGAGGCGTTCTCGCCGAAGTCGGTAAATTGAATCATGCTTCTCCGAGCTCCAGACGCACAATACTGTGGAGGTACACGCTCCCGCATGCCAATGCCCAGAACAAATAGTAGCTTGGCCTCGGGCACTTTGAACTTGGGCCCCAGAGAGCCCCGCGACAGTATGTCCCCACGTGCATACAGCAAGTACACCTGACTTGTAGAGCTTGGAAGCTTGATTCACAAGCTTGGTGAGGTACTGGACTTTCTTAACACGAACAGCGGCCTTACGAGCTCGAACTATGGCAATAGACCTACGCTTGCCTGCAGTGGTAGCAGTGCCGAGGTCGCGGATTACGTCGTCGACTTTGATTTTCAGCCATGCAATATTCAACTCATGTGCAAGAAGCAGGGCAAGGGGGGGTCTGTTAGTAACGACAGCTGACTTCTCGGAAAAGACAAGCTCGCCACTCCCAACAGCGTGCTCAAATTGAACAGCGGCCGAGACAATCTCCCGTCGAACCTGATCTTCTGTCCCTTGAGAGGCTTGCGATGTATCATCAACATATGGACGAGTATTGATACTGAGGTTCTCAAAGCACTACCCATTGTGGATATCGGAGAGGATCTGGTAGAGATTGACCTTAACCCAAGGCGTAGACTGCATACAGCTTGGGAGGATACAAATTCCAGCAGGCAAGACCTGAAAACAGAAGCCACTACTTTCAAGCATCCCGGGGGGCAACGTGCACCAAGAAATTGAGGTAGAACATGTGCTGCTGGAAATTCAGCACGCAAGCAAGCTTAACGAGCGTAGCTGGCACAGCAGTGTCTGGAGGAGGAGGAGGAAGAAGGCAGGAGGAGGAGGAGGAAGGAGGCAGGAGGAGGAGGAGGAGGAGCCCAAGCCTGGGGTGAGACGCACGTCTCGAATAGGTGTGCCGCACGGCGGCGGCAGCACGGTCGCCACGAACGGGCGAGGACAGATCTGGGCGTCGTGCAGGCTGCAGGCGCAGTGGGCCCATTGGGGGGCCTGGGAGGGAGAAGGAGAAGGAGGATGAGTAGAAAGGTATCTTCCTCCCCCCCGTTCGCGAACCCGCGCGTGCAGGGGAGGGAAGAAGGAGCAGGAGAATAAGGGGCAAGATTGAGCCGTCTGGGGGTCTGAGGTTGAGGTGACCCAGCACTGGCCCCGGCCAGTAGAGAGGGCGGGCAGGTTCGAGGGTCTGGGTTTGGGAAGATTGTCTATCTTTTTCGGCCTCCGGAGGCCGTGTTTGGGACCCGGGACCGTGAAAACAGATCGGGGGTGAAAGATTGCGTCAGATGAACCCCGGGAGGGGTCCGGGGACAGATCTTGAGCGGATTTGGCTTTATCCCCCCCTCCTGACCAATTTTAGGGGGTCCCAACCAGTTCAGATCCCTTGGTCGCCTGCAAGCAGAAAAGCATCTTCCTCCCCGTTTGCGATCCCGCGCGCACGGGGGGGAGGGTCGCGCAAAGACCAGCTCAGAGTACTTGGACGCTTCGATTGCAATAGGGACGGCTGCTAGAGCTGCCCCCGACTGGACCCACAAGGGATCACTTCAGACAATCCTTGAGCAGGCTGCGGTGTGAGGCTGGAGGTGCTGGGGGTTGTGGGGGGAATAAGTGGATGCTTGCGAGAGCTGGCACGCGAAATCACCTACACATGCGTGCATGTCAGGGAAGCCCAACTTGGATATCGCCCCCACTGCGTCGTAAGCGTTGTTTGCTTCGGGGTAGGTTCATTCTTCCTCACTATATGCTCATCTGCGTTGTCTTCCTGTCTAGACACCCTCCAGCCTCCGTCTTGCTTGCGTGCCCCATTGTCAAGGCCATGGCATGAGCCCGCGTGTATTTGCTTGCGCCGCTGTGTCTATCTGAAGGCATCGGGCCACTGCCTCAAGACCCCCTGCCCCAGGCATCGCGGGATTCCTCGTCGCCGTCGCCGTCATCCTCCTTCATTTCCTTATGTTTCCCCTCCTCTTCGGGATTGTTGAGGCCATCTTGGGTCATGCCTAGGCCGTCTCGCTCTTCTGGTCAGCCCTCTTTGATCCCTTGGGGTGCCGTTGCCTTTATCTACGGCCCTCCCAGGAACCGTCTGAAGGCGCTCTCGGAATTAGTTTCTGCTGTCTTATGGGCTCTTGGATCACGCAGAAGTCATTGAGGATGACTTCGGAGAGTTGAACGGTGGGTTCTCGTCATGGATGCACGGACCCACCGCAATGTACAAGGGATCGTGAGCATGGCAGCTCTGATCTTCTGCAATTGAAATCGGGGCGTGGCCCGGGAGCGGGAACCTTTTTCGTTTGTCAGCCTCGCAATGTACAAGGGCACATAGTCAGGGGATCACGGACACATTTCAATGTACTAGGGATCGTGGCTCTCGGAGCGCTGTCCTCTTCTAATTTATAGCGGGTCGTGGCCCTGGCGGCGCGGACGCCGCGTAATTTGTTATGGGTCGTGGCCTCGGGAACGCGGACATTTCGCATTCTACTACGGACATTGGGCTTGGGAGCGCGGATCCAGCATCATTTGCAATGGATCGGAGTTCTTGAAATGCGGAGCCTTTATGATTGACGAAAGAGTGTGGTTTGCGAGTGCGGATCCAGCGTAGTTTGCACGGAATCGCGGTTCTTGACTTGCGGGTTCTTCGCAATGTTTTCGTGGGAGGCAAGAGTTTCGAGATCTCTCCCCAGGGGCTAGTTGGAGGGACTTCGGGGGGAGTGGGGGATTTCTGGAGGTGGGGCGGGATACAACTACCACATTCAATCTCCTGCATCACAGCATCAACACCGAAGCCAATGCAACGTAATTGTTCACTACCTGGAGGCCCCACAGGATGGCCAGCGGAACTACCGTGTGGCGACCAGTTAAGATGCACGATGGCCACGCGCGGTAGCAGCTATTCGATGGTACATTCACGCAGGGACGGCGCAGATTTATGAGTTTGTCCTGTGTGGCCGACCAGTGTGTATGACCACCGTGCAAGGGAGGAGGAGCAACCGATGCAGAGAATTACAAGCCTCGTCAAAAATGATTTTAAACGCTGTTCAAAATCGAAGCGCGTGATAGTTCCTGCACTTGTCAGAAAACGCGTTCTTCAATGCTGTGAGGGTACTGCCGGATTTCGGACACCCCTGCGTCTGGGCCGAATACTTCATGCCAGCATTGAAATAACGCCGCCCATGCAAGCATCCAACATAAAAATCGTCAGTGTATGTTTGACGAGTCTTGCAAGGGAGAGTGCCAGTCGGCGAGATTATTCAGCGCACCGCATGGAATGTGATCAGACTCGTTGTCGATTGCTGTTCCAGAATGGGCAGATCACACCTGGACCGCGGTCCATGATGTGATTTTCTCGTGCGCTCGGGCCATGGCCAGGCTCACACAATGGAGCTTCCAAGCGGTGGCCGCTGTCACAGAGAAGCTAGTCGGGGCGAGCAGACTAGAGAATTGTTTTACGCAGCCGCACGGAATTGATCACCGCCCTGGTCTTTTCACGACCTTTATGGGCACATAGATCGTTGCCTGAACCGCCCTGCTTCTGGACAGGCTATATGGATGCCTCACGGCTGCCTACGTAACCCATCTAGTTCCGCATTCTCATGTTGGTACGCTGTGTTTGCCCCCAGATCCCGACCCCTGGGCGTCCAGGCGGGGCTTGGAGACCGTTGGAGGCCTCCAGAGGCCGCACACAGTCAACCCGCATAGCAAGGATGAGTGAGTCTCCAAGGATACCCTTGCATCCTTCCACATCGGAGCATCATTGGCCGCTTTCGCTGGCCACGCCTTGCTCGCAGAGTGTCGACATGGCCGTCCAAGGCCCTTGCATCCTTATCGTGCGTCTTTATTATACGCGTTGACTGTAGGCCCAAAAGAACCAAACATGGCCAAACACCTTCTGGAAGCGTCCGAGCACCTCTCTCTCGATAATCCAGGGGTCGATAGCAGCATATTGCATTTCGTGAGTTCCTCTCTGGATGCCTGAGGGCCGCGCGTTGCTTGTGCGAGTCGTGGCGCGCCAACACACCCCTAGCGGGAGCAAAGGCGTGCGTGGCAGGGATGCTAAGAGATACGCGTCTTGTCCTCTCCCTCCTGTTCCTTATGCCTCTTCCTCCGTCTCTGACACTGGTAATAGATGCAGAAATTTGTTTGCCCCGCTACGACCCCCACAGGCACCAGCAGCCACGCATCCTGGTCCCGGCCAGTTCTTTCCCCAGCTCCCGCCCCGATTTGTGGCCATCATCACGAATTGGGAACCATCTGCATGCGCTTTGCACCAGTAGAGAGATCATACCCCGTAGCAGTAATCTGGCCCGCAAATAAGACGCTGCCTCTGACAACATGCGTTTGCCTAGAGCACGAGCGCCGCGGTCTCGGCGGAACGCCCCAAGGTTCAGGGCCCCAAGAGCACCAGCGGAGCCCCGGCTGGCCTCGCCGTATCCAGCCCTTGCGGTGTGCGCCCACTTGGGCTCGTGGACACGAGCGCGCGCTCGTGCGTGCTTGGGAGGGAGGTAGGCCAGGGAAGGGAGGGAGAGGCGAGGATGGGAGGGAGAGAGGGAAGGCAGAAATAGAGAGGGAGGGAGCAGAGAGAATATGAGGAGGGAAAGAGCAGGGGGTGGGGAGCTCGGACCAGGGAGCGGGGAGGATGACGAACGAACGAATGAGCCCTATGGTGCCTGTCTGAGTTTGCTGTCTATCAGGGCACTGGAATCGGCCCCTTGCAGCCGCAGACTTCGGGACGAGCCCGCCCAAAAGAGACATAGGATTTCGGAGACCCTGTCTATTGCCTGCGACAGCCACATAGTGATGCCAGCGCTCGAGCCCTGGCCGACTCCCATCCCAGGGCTCTAAGCTGACCTAAAAGCTCCTTGCTCGAGGCCGGGGGCGTTTAGGGAGAGGAGGCTGCGGAGGAGGGAGAGGGTCAGGGCATCTCGGCACGGAGTTTTCATGCAGGGAGGGGGTGGGAGCATGAGTGGAGGGAGTTCTGCCCGCACAAGCATTGGCAGTGAGCGGGGACGAGCCGGGGGTCGTAATTACGGGGGTAAGCACGGGATGTAAACCTGCATTTGGGGGATTCTGGGCGGGTTCGTGATCCGTGTCGTTATTTCCGCTCTCGCGGGACTCGCAGAGAGCCTCTCCCGTGCAGGCGGCAGCCTTCAGTAAATGACTACAGCGGTCTCCCGTCGCTGCTGTCTGTCCGCGTTCTCGTCCCCATCTGTCTTGTGCACGGTCGAGGCGGTCCGAGCAAAATTGGTGGGCCCCGTCGGCACGATCGTCCTTGACCTCGAGCGCTGTCTGGGGGAGGAGCCCCCAGCAGTGCCCGACATCGCAGGCCGCATTGAAGCCGACGACACCGCAGTTGGCGACGTCGACATCCTAGCAAAACGGCTGGGCCCCGCTGGCACGATCGTCTTGGACCTCGTGCACCGCTTGGTGCCATAGGCCCCCTTGACAGCACCCGACATCGCAGGCCGCAGTGAGGTCAGCGACACCGCAGCTGGCGACGGGATCCGTTCTAGATCTCCTCGAAGGCCGCGAGCTTCGTGTGCAGCATCCCCTCCGTGTGCGACATGGGTGCCAGACCACTCTTGATCTCGCCTCCCAACTGCTCCAGGCGCTTCGCGATCAGCTCCGAGTCCGTCGACTTCCCCATCACCACCTTCGCATGCGTGTCCTCGTACGCCGACGCCACCTTCACGAAAGGGAACCTGGTCTCACACTTGTCCAGCGTGAGGGCCTGGCTCTCCGTCTTCAGCTTGCACAGGTTGACTTTGTTCGCCCGCCCTACTCCGTCACCCTCCGTCTCCAGGCCCTAGATGATCCCTACCAGGGCCGCGCAGCTTATCATGCCGTTCTTCATCTCGTCGTCTTGGGTCCCCTCCGCGCGTAGCTTCTGCATGTTGGTCACCCGCCCGCGCATCCTGTTCTTCGCCTTGATTAATTGCTGTAACGCCATTGGGGTCAGGACCGTCGTCAGCGGCATGGAGTCCATCTGGCGTTGTCTCATCCTGAGGTTCAGCATGTTCATCATGACTGGGACGAGCAGCTGGACCTCCTCGATCGGCTAGGTCTGCGACGGCGCTCTCGTCCAGCCTCTTCCTGTCCTTTGCTCCGTTGTCTCGCCCTCCTTTGCCTCGGCCTTTCCTCGTCTTGGCGCCTCCTCCTGCCGAGCCGTCCGCCGCCTCCCTCTCCGTGTCGCCGTTCTTAACGTCCATCGGCTCGGGCACAGGTTGGAACATCAAAGTGGAAGTCAAGAAGCTGCTGTGGGAGGCGTCTGGCTAGATGATCCTCGAAGCGATCGAGGAGGAAGAGGATGGTGATGATGATGGTGATGGAGATGGACTTCATGCTGATGATGATGATGATTCTGATGATGATGATGAGCATGATGCTTATGTTGATAATTATGATTCTGATTATGGTGATGATGGTGGTAGTGATGATGATGCTGGTGATGCTGATGATGATGATGTCGATGTCGATGCCGATGATGATGCTGATGATGATGACGATGATGGTGATGGTAATGGTGAAGATGATGATGATGATGATGATGATGATGATGATGATGATGATGATGATGACGATGATGAAGATGATGATGATGATGATGATGATGATGATGATGGTGATGGTGATGGTGATGATGATGATGATGATGATGATGATGATGGCGATGACGATGGCGAATGTGATGGTGATGGTGATGGTGATGGTGATGGTGGTGGTGGTGATGATGGTGGTTATGATGATGGTGACGGCACCTCTGTGCAGACCTGGGCCCAAGCGCGAGCAGCAACACCAAGTTGGGTGGGGCCGTAAGCGGGGCTTCAGCTTGTGGAATCTCGTCGCGACACGACAGCCCCGGCACGGGCGTCCAAAGGTTGACCGCGGCAATCGTTGAAGATTGAGCGGTTCGCGCGGTGCCAGAAACCGTCCCTAGGATTTCACACTGCCCATGTGTAGTGGGGAGATGGGAGGCTCATTCGGAGTGGGAAACGGAGGGGTGTCTGGGAGGGGGAGATGGGGAGAGATCAAGGGGGAGCCGGGCCAAACTACGTGCGCTCGCGCCATATCTGACGTCCTACCTTTCCCACCCATCCCTTCCCATTGCACTGACGTTTTCTCTATATCCCCGACTTGTATCAAAGCGGATCTGGAGCTCCAGGAATGGCACAATCGTCTTATGTGCAATCGGGACACGGAAGTTGCGTGTATTAATTGGAGGAGGAGGAGGAGGAGGAGGAGGAGGGGGCGGATTAGCAGGAGGACAAGGAGGAGGATGAGGAAGGAGGAGAACGAGGACAAATAGCAGCAGCAGGAGGAGGTGGACGGAGCGGAAGGATCGGGAGGAGCAGCAGGACCAGGAGGGGACAACGCTGAGGAAGGACTGGGATCCATAACAGGGGGCCGTGCTAGGGCGAGAGCGTCATTCTGAACGACTGGAGCAAAGCTCCGATCCTAAAATGAGACCCACGGAGCGGGGCGCGCCACTCTCAGGCCATCTTCGGGGGGGAGAGAGGAGAGTCGTATTCATACTGTGTTACTCTACAGGAGAAAACAGCGAGACAGAGGAGGAGGGAGCGACGACGACGACGGTGGCGGCGACGACAACGAACGGCAGCGGCGGCGACGGCCACGACGGTGGCGAACGATGGCAGCGAACAGTTGCGGCGACGGCGGCGACGGTGACGACAGCGGCAGCGGCGACGGCGACGGCGGCGCTGGCGGAGGGGAGAGATTGGAAGTGCCATGCCGAGCATGGATGCCCCCCCCCCCGTGTCCGCGACCCGCGCGGCGGCGTGCACCGTTGGGACCCTGCGCGCCTCCCGCCCATGACGGCCAGGAGCCCGGGGCCAGCGGCCCCCGCAGGACCGAGCCGAGAGAGGCCTTCGGGTGGGTGCCACCTCTCGGGCGGCAGAAATGGGCTGCGCTGCGGCCGCCGCCGCTGCAGGGCCAGAGAACCCCAATGGGCACCGAGCTTCCCCGGGCGTCCGGGCAGAGCCGTGCCGCGGGCGTCCGCCAAGCAGTGACGAAGCGTCCTGGCCTGCCTTAAGGGCCACGGAAGAACGTTCGAAGAACTTGTTGTGGTTTGCACGAAGTGTTCTTAGAACACACCCGGCTGGGACTGTCTTGTTTCAACACACCTGCTTTCCGATTTCAAAACATTGTTGTTAATATTCGAACATGCTTTGTTGTAAGAACGTTTCGTGGTAGGCTTGTAGGAATGCCAGGACGGTCGGCCACTGCTCAAGTCCGAGAGTCCATGCCCGTCCTGCTCGCTGGTGCTTCGGGGATCGACGTGCGATCCTTGACGGTCTCTTCCCCCTTCTTTCCCCCCCTCGCTGGGTCACGAAAGCTTTCCTTGTCGCACCCCTTCCCTACCTCCCCGCGCCGACTTCGACCACTATCCCTGAGGGCTCAGGCCCACCCGCGGTGGCCTTAGAGGCCCCGCCCGTGGTGGACACAGGCGCCGCGCTCCGCTCCGCTCCTCTCATTCCTCCGTCGCCTGCGTCGACGAGGAGGAAGGCGCCGACGACGATGACCACGACGGCGACGACGCCGACGACAAGGCCGACGCCGACGCCCAGGACTCGGGATCGACGTTCGATCCATGCCCCTGCTGCCGCTCCTACTCTGGCTGCCAGGGGGGGAATGCATGGAAGAAAAACTGGCTGGGTTTCTATCCATGCCCCCGCCCCGCCCCATCGTAAAGCTCTGGCTGGCGTTAGCAGGGGGGGCACGGGTAAGTCGGCCACGCACAGAGCGGGGTAGGGGTAGGGGGGAAGGCTTCTTAGAAGCACACCCGCTTCTAAGAAGGCGCGGGCCCTGTCTGTAGATGTAAGGCCAGCGCCTTCTAAGAAGCAGCCTCCTAAGGAGCGTGTCCCCTCCCCGATACCCCCCTTTCTGCGCGCCGCCAAGGAAGGTGTCGATCGCCTGGTCCTCCGCGCCACGCCCCCCAGGGGGGGAGCGGGGCAGCGTGGCGGAGTGCTGCCCGGCGCCGCGGCGCGGGGCGGAACACGGAGGGCTTCTGAGAAGCCCCTTGCCTTCTGAGAAAGCCGCCCCCCTCCCCCCTCGCACAACCTCCCTTTTCGCACTGTCAGGTCGGGCAGGGATAACTCGCGATCTTTGAGGAGAGGCGGGCTCGGAAGACTGTTTTGCAGGCCAGGCCTCTGCCAGAACCAGTGGGGGAAATCGCAGGGAGAACTTCCTCAGCGCGGCAGTGCGGGCCGCCGCAGCTCTTATACGAACCACGGGGCGGGTCGACAAAGAAAAGCGGGCCAGGCAAGGAACAGAAACGGGCCCGAGAGCGAGGAGCCGAGGGAGAGCGCGGACAGATGTCATAAACATGCGTAAACTGTTGGAGTTCCGCGCAAATTTCTTGGATCTGCGCTGGGGCTTTACGGGCCTCTGCGGGCCTCCCCACAATTAACAAGGAAATGTTGCCTTCGCGGCGTTTCCGCGACGAGCGAGGTCTTGGGGGGGGTCACAGCCAGCACCAGTCCGAAAGTCAGAGCCCCCGAGGAGGTCGGGCCTCGTCAACGGCGCTTGCTTCGAGACGGCTTTCGCACCGGCGCTGTCCACGAGTATCGTTCGCACGGGCGTCCGTTGCGGCGCCCCTTAGCCTCCTGACTTGGTCCTCCGAGTGACGAGTTTACGGAGCCGCCCCCCACGGCAGAGGGGGAAGGAGAACCAGCAGGAGGACAAGGAGGAAACGAAACGAGGAAGGATGATAAGGAAGGCAGACCTCATGCATCAATGAGCGCACGAAGTTTCAGGTCGAGATGTCGCGTATCTCTTGCAGGCACAGGTACGCAAGTCGTTCCCAACGTCTGCTTCATATTGTGGTCGGGCACCAGACCGCCCCTGAGAACTGAGTCCCAGGCTGCAACCATCCATGTGTGTAAGGAATCCATCCTTCCATTTCGATAACCTGTTAAACGGGAAGTTATCGGCGCTATCACAGGTCCAGCCTACCACTTCTGATGCGCGCAGGCAGCAGGGTTGCCTTGGTGCCACGAGGTCATGTGAAATCAGCCTAGACACATGGCGCAGAATGTCCCTTCCAATTCTCCGGAACCCGGCCGCCATGTGTTTGAGCGAGCTCGCCCAGCTTGACCAGTACACCGCTGGAGCGCAGCCGACCTCCGTTGATTTTGAAACCGACATCGGAGGATACCGAAACTAAGTTCGTTGGATACCGAAATACCGGAATTCATGCTTCAATACCAAGTCCAGTGTCTTCCGGGAGATGTGATTGAAATTTGTCTTGCTGCCGAAACGGCGGGGATCATTGGTGAACCGATGTTTCTTGGTACTGCAACGATGGATCCGTGACGCGCCTTCATGTTGCTCAAACGGTCGGAGATCATCACTCATTGATTATTCGCGGTTACCCGCCAGGGTGTGATTGAAAGAAGCGAGCGCCTTATAATTTGGAAATCCCGATTCCAATTAGATGTACACATGTTGTGCGATGGTGGGGACCCATATAGATGACCAAACCTGACGACCTACGCGAATGTCTGGTTGAATACGTGGCATACACGGATGGTATCGATTTGGAGGTGTGAGCTTTTTGTTGGCCACGTACGGGATGACAGTGTGTTTTTTTATGTGTGCATTGCGAACGCCTATGTACGACGCCCACCCCCAAGCATGTATGTTTGAGGGATGTGGATTCCTTTGCGTAGTTTGCTTCGCTGTGCCGTTGCACGTCGCATGCCAAAGCGCTGGGTGCAAAATGAAAACCAGCGCCGCATTCCCTCCAACCTTCCTGAAGTTTCAGAGTGCTTGGGGTGGAACGCAGTCCACGTCTGACTTCCAGCGGCCGCGCCGCCTTCGTTTTTTCCCCAACCATCCTGTGGTGTCGGGCTCTCGTTTTGAAGAGACAGCGCCCCGCGTCTCACTCCCCACTCCTCCTACCCCTCCTCCCATTCCTCCCTCTCCTCCCTCCTCCATCACCATCATCACCATGATCACCACCACCATCATCATCATCATCAGCAGCAGCATCAGCATCGTCATCGTCATCGTCATCGGCCCCATAGGGAGTTCCACCCTAAGGCACCAGTGGCACCGTTCGCATGTGGGCGTCCCCCTTGTTTCGGCACACTTGTCACACGTTTCGTGGCCCCATAGGGAGCTCCAGCTACGGCCCCAGTGGCACCGTTCGCATGTGCGCGTCACGCCCTTTTCGGCACACTCCTCACACGTTTCGTGACCTCATAGCCAGCTCCACCGAAGGCCCCAGTGGCACCGTTCGCATGTGGGCGTCACGCCCTCTTCGGCACACCAGTGATACGTTCCGTGGCCACATAGGGAGCTCCAGCTACGGCCCCAGTGGAACCGTTCGCATGTGGACGTCTCCCCCGTTTCTGCACACCCCTCACACGTTTCGGGGCCCCGTAGAGAGCTCCAGCCCGTTTCGGCACACCCCTCACGCGTTTCGTGGCCCCATAGGGAGCTCCACCTATGGCCCCAGTGGCACCGTTCGCATGCGGGCGTCACCTCCTCTTCGGCACACCCCTCACACGTTCCGTGGCCCCATAGGGAGGGAGCTCCAGCTAAGGCCCCAGTGGCACCGGTCGCATGTGGGCGTCTCCCCCGTTTCGGCACCCCCCTCACACGCTTCGTGGCCCCATGGGGAGTTCGGCCCCAGTGGCACCGTTCGCATGTGGGCGCCGCCTCCGTTTCGGCACACTCCTCACACGCTTCGTGGCCCCATAGGCAGCTCTACCTCCGACCCCAGTTGTACCGTTCGCATGTGGGCGTCACCCGCGTTTCGGCACACCCCTCACTCGTTTCGTGGCCCCATAGGGAGCTCCAGCTACGGCCCCAGTGGCGCCGTTCGCATGTGGGCGTCACGCCCTTTTCGGCACACTCTTCACACACTTCGTGGCTTCATAGCCATCTCCACCGAAGGGCCCAGTGGCACCGTTCGCATGTGGACGTCACGCCCTTTTCGGCACACCACTGACACGTTCCGTGGCCACATAGGGAGCTCCAGCTACGGCCCCAGTGGAACCGTTCGCATGTGGACATCGCCCCCGTTTCTGCACACCCCTCACGTTTCGGGGCCCCGTAGTACGGAGCTCCAGCCCGTTTCGGCACACCCCTCACGCGTTTCGTGGCCCCATAGGGAGCTCCACCTATGGCCCCAGTGGCATCGTTCGCATGCGGGCGCCGCCTCCTCTTCGGCACACCCCTCACACGTTCCGTGGCCCCATAGGGAGCTCCAGCTAAGGCCCCAGTGGCACCGGTCGCATGTGGGCGTCACCCCCGTTTCGGCACCCCCCTCACACGCTTCGTGGCCCCATGGGGAGTTCCAGCTAAGGCCCCAGTGGCACCGTTCGCATGTGGGCGCCGCCTCCGTTTCGGCACACCCCTCACACAGTTCCTGGCCCCGTAGGTAGCTCCACAGTGCCTGCCCCCACAGGCAGCTCGACCTGGTAGTGCACCGCATGCCAGAATTGCAGGCCTTCTTGCAAGATATCCAGGAACCAACTCATCGTCAGTCCCCTCGCCGCGGCAGCCTGACCCTCCTAAGCCAGTTCGAGCTCCCCACCACAGTGATCACGATATTGCAGACCAAAACGCATACCCCTCAGGCGTCGCCCGATTGACAGACGGATAGAGACACCTCGAATCGGTCGACGTGGAGCACGAGGTCAATAGCCGGGCTCGCATTATGAAAGCATCCCCGAAATGCGTCAAGCCACAGTTCACACGCATGTTGACGCAGATTTTGGTGGGGATCGAAGTTACACAAAAAGCATTTGAACGGGGAGTTGTCGGGAACAACGTCCGAATGCAGGTAGTATGGACATTGTTTATTGTGTTACCTCGCCTGTTTTTGCACCACGCGCATCATGGTGGGGAGGCAGTCGAACGCGAGCTAAAGGCACAAATTGCGGTTTTCGATTCAGGCGCATGGGATAGACTATTCAACAGTGCCAGGGCCAGCGCCAGGGCTGCGGAAAGCAAGCCGTTCAAGCTGAAGGCCGATACAGACACTCGCCGATTGGAGAAATCACAGGCGTTCATTAAGCAAAGCGAGCTCAGCCATGCAGCCAGAGTCTTGGACTCCAACAGCCTTGCGCCACGGACTGCGGCCACCCTTGCGGAACTCAGGGGCCCCTCCTTCCGCCCAAAATGGCCAGCTGAACCTTTGCCACTTGCCTTGCGCGCCTTCCAATATCCCGAGCATGTGGAACTCAACAAGAGTTTTTTCGGCGCAGTCATGCGTCAAGCGCGAAGGGACTCAGCGCAGGCAAGTTAGGTAGCGTATTTGAATATTTCAAGGCATGTCTGGAGGATGGGACGGCATTTGACGCGC